CAACATACGGTATTAAAATAATAGTGTGGAACTTAGTGATGAAAATAATTTTAAAGAAATTTAGGACATTTTTAGAACATTAGAAAAAAAATAATATTCGCCCATTCCAAATTAATATTGAATTTCATATAATGTGGATTGAAGAACAACACACTCTTCCCTGATTGTAAGGATCCAGTTCTTAATTTTCTTAGAAACTATTTTGAAAAACACGGAAATAGATTAAAACAGGACAGTAGCTTAAGGTCAATCAATATGTGACAGAAATATTACAAGATTAAGTAGTACAGCGAGTAGTGCAATTGATTATTATAAATTTTAATTACAATATTATATACCAATTAACTCACAAATTACTTTATACAGAATTTAAACCATTCTCTTCACGTTTCAGGGCACAAGAGCTTCTGATTCATTCTCAGAAGACTCACTCGCTTCGGTGTTTTCAAAGACCTCTTTGCGTGAAAATATCGCTCGAGCTTCTGCGACTAGAGACAAGAGAGATTCGACATCGAGACTGAGACAACTCGAGTCCGAGAAGTCTTCAAGATGTAAGTTATTCAGTAGATTAATTTCGGGGGTTACCGCAGAAATTTTGTCGAAATTCGCAAGGGAGAAGAAAAAGAGAAGTTACCGTCCACAAATATTATTGAATGTTTACCAATAACTGTCTCAGTGATCGTGCATCGTCATTGTATTGTAGAGTATTTTGTTAAATATCTTTGGAGATCTCTCCACCTTTCCTTGTTTCTCGGAGGACAAAATGCTTCGGTGTATGCATACTAACTTTTGAACCACTTGGGTACGAGTGCTATTGTAATATTTCAAATTTTTTGTCTGCATATTTAGTCGTTTTGTATCTTTTTGCACTAATGTCTCATATTGTCCTTTAATTTTCTGTTTGGGTGCACTGATAATGAAGAAAATATCATCGAAACACTTTTGTTTGTTTGTTGAACCTGTAACAGACTATTATTAGAGTGTAACGGACTTTAATATTCGAGCGTGGACGTGTAAATATATAACAAGAATTTTGTGGATGATAACGTCACTTTTCCTTCTATAATTATCGAATAGACGTCTGGTTTAAAGATAAACTACAAACAAACCACTACCCTTCAATATTTGTGAGAATGATGCAGATATTTGCAACTATGTATTCTATGTGTTTAAAATAATTTTCTAATTTACTTCAGTGAGTAACATAAATAAAAATCAAAAATGAAAAAAATGTATTTTGAGATGACTTTGTATTTTATCGACTAACGTCTGGAGGGTTTGTGGGTGGTAGTCGAAATACACACTTTCGAACGATGTTATTTTGCAACGCATACAGCATACAGTACCAGGACTGGATTCACTGTTTTTTAACATTCGCTGTATGACACTTGCTTTATTTTATCTATTAGGGATAAGAGGCCCTTCAACTATGCATTTTCGGGAATGCGGTTGTAAAATTTCTTCTTGCTGTTCTCAGGAGAAACACTCCGTATTTGGAATTAAGATTTAACAAAAACCATAAGAGGAGAATGGAAACATCCGTTCACATTTTAGCTGTGCTGCGAATAATGAATTGCACTATATATAATATATCTATATATATATATATATATATATAATTATATATATATAATATATATGCTATACTACTATATAATAGAAATCAGATATAAGTTATCAAACCTACTTTCAGTTTCCTAAGAGCTACGATAATGTGAGTGTTGTGGAAAAACGTTATTTAAAATAACTATTTTCACTGACATCATAAAACGTACTTTTTGGACTATGGATAAGGATGTAAATCAATACAATTCTTGAGTTTGTTCATTGCATTTCACAGGTAATCAAATTATTCTGGCAGAAAGTGAACCTGTTGTATATTACGCGCTGGGTAAAATAGATATATTTGGTGTTTGATGGAAGTCTTAGAAAGGAAAGATGACTCTGGAAATAGCGGCGGAAGGATCCCAACCAACACTTACAAAACAAACCACAACAAATTAGTTCGTAGTAAGTCAGTAGACCAAAGATTTAATAGATGCAATTTCTTTTTTTAAATGGCTCATTTATATTATTACCTTGCGTGTTAATGAAATAAGTTACTTTTATTTATAGAAACGAACAACAAATAAATAATTCATTAATTTAAAATTTATCTTATTTATTTCACAAATGAATTGAAGTTAAGCAATAAATGTTTCTTAAAAAATATCAAAGCAAAGAAATATTTACGAAAATTCACCTTTCGAGATGCAAAGACGAAGCGAATTACAGAAACCAAGAAAATGGAGTAAAAAGTAACAATAAAATTTCAGAAGGATTCAATCCACTTGTACGAATAACACTCCAGGAATGAAAACTAATATAAACATGGTAGTAATATACATTGAAGCTCATAGGTTGGTTGGAAATCGACAATTGAAAATATTATATGCAATGAAAATGAAATGTTAACGGTAAGATCTTTTGGTTACATTACGAAAATATTTAAACACTAATTCAGAGATAGAATGAGAAACATATCTTTTGCAAAAGACTTCTTGTAAAAGGATTTAGAGGTTTTTTCACATGACCGTAGAATAGAAAACGGATAGCCTAAGAAATTGTTGCACGAATTGAACGAATGAATGTTGCAAGAAATTGTTGACGGCGAATTGACAATTGACACAGAAGAAGACTGCGTTGCACCTACAGTGAGAACAACTTCAGAGAAAGGTTGATGTCTGGAAGGATAGGAAAACTGCTGGATTCGATAGGGAATCAGAAGCACAATCATGAATGTGCCAGTATAACAAAGTAAATGTTTATTACTTTGTTATTGTTTTAATAATTATCAGCAATTGTTACAAGGGCTTAGGTAATTTCATCTCTAAAATTACCTTCAGATATAAATATAGGCAGACTGTAGTAATTATTTGTTAGTATAATTTTCTCGTACGCTACTGATTTCCACAATACTTAATTAGTTCAAACTATACAGTCATTTTAGTTTTATTAAATATTTCGTGCCGGTGTTTCATTAAACTAATATTTCATGAATTGCTAATAAAGATGAATTAATATCGTTTCTACGTGGAAACAGACAGCCTTCTGTTAAACTCTCATTCAGAGGTTAAATAAATTTATTGTTTGACAGTTCACATTTATTTCACCACATTCAAGGATCAGGTGTACGTGTGTATACAATTTTGTATGCCTTTCACTATGGGTCTATTGTCATTGTAAGCGCTATTGACAGAAGTGAAAATATGTGCTCACCGGCTTATGCAGTTAGTACAGCCGAAAACGTGTTTTCAGTAGTTTAATCAACTATTATTTCTCTGATTCCATTATGACGTGATTAAATTTAGTTATTTAGTTTCAATACTTAAGCCCTTCTAACAATTGCTGGTTCGTTTTAGGTAATGATCTAACGCGGGCCCGTTCAAATCCTGACGTCTTGGCGGGGAAGTCAGGCTTCATGACGTCAAGGGTGGCTCACTGTTCGGAGAGCGCACGCAAAATCCAGGCAGTTGTGCGACAGAACTCCAGCCATATTTGAATTATTTAATTCTTTGAGAAGGGAAAGGTAGGTTTTGAATGATACAGTAGGAAATAATGCGAAAATCTGTTACATACCATCTTTCGACAACAATGTTTAAATTATTGAAAGATTGGGTAATTGCCAGAAAGTCGCGGTTAAATCACCTTAGTTCCTTTGCTGTGGAATGACGTGCGTGAGCGAGAAAAAACACCCTTTACGAATATAAGTAAAAACAAATGTGAAGAAAATTAACAATAGTTGAAAGGCGGAATTTTGTATTAAAGCGCTGAAGTTCGATCCACTCAATTTGAAGCCACTCATTGATGATGGTTGTTGGGTGCACGATGAGCCTCATTGGGGTATCAATTCCTACAAAAACTAATTGCTAAAGACAACAGCCAATCAATAACAAGCTGGCCCTTTCTCTTAAGAGTTGTGCTTATATTGAGCACCGCACTTCAACTAAAAATATGATTTAGATCATTTGAGGGCTTATTTTTCGATCAGTGAAAATGTGAAAACGTTTCAGATTATAGTATATCCATGCTTTTTACATAATCATTCAGATTGTTAAATTGGATTTTTATGGGAAATTATGTATAACTTGAATCTAGGGAAAACATTCGAATAATTATTTCAGGTTTTAGAACACCTATACCTGTATGTAGTTCCACAAACGAGGAAAATATTATTAGAAAGACAATCGTATTAGATAACAAAAATTCTAGAAATTCTGAATATTGAGGAATGTGGGACACCAAAGCATTGTCGTAATAGTATTAAAAATTTAACGAGGAATTGTATAATAATGAAAATTTAAACTCAGCTTGAGTGGTATCTAAAACACATAGTCTCTGTCATTGTGTGAGAGCAATTGGCGTCTTTTGTTTTCCCTTTTTAATTAATTAATTAATTGCTGTGGCCACTTATTAAGATTATATTTGTTGGGATGCACTTTTTTTAGATTAATAACAGGACCTGAATTAATACTGAGACCTCTGACAATCACATGTTCACTGTACTTTAATTTGACTACAAAGTAGTGTCAGATACGAAAGTATTAAAGATAACAACTTTGTTAAATTTTCACAAATGTCTTTCTACATAACGTCTTATGAAGTGTTTCATTAAGTTGTTGCTAATTACCATGTGACCGTAATAAATGATCCTTATAAAAAGAATCTGTATTCTGCAGTGCAAGATCATGCAAAATCAGAGAGGAGATTAGATGAAGCCGGACCATCAACCAGAGAGTGGCCGGGAGAACTCCATAGCACATTAGGTGAGTGCATGGGTTGCCTAATACACTATACATGGTCACTCACCTTTTTACTTCACGTTATTGACAAAAATGTTTCGTGCGACATCATTGTCGCAGTAGTAGGAAGTGTTCTGTTATTACACGGCGCTATATTAACAAGAATAATCAGTCTCGCAATATATGTAATTAGAACTAATCGATGGGCTCATGTTAACTTCAACCAAAATTAGTATATGCCTTTCGCAAAAAAATAGCTAAATGTAAATAAAAATATACAAGTAGTGCATTGGAATGTTTTTGAAAATTGAAATAACGTTGAACGCATATCTTTGCACAAATTTAATTATACTTTTCATTTAAATATAATATTTTATTATCTATTCATGCTGAGAATGATGAAACTCTTGTTTACAGTAATTCATATTCAGAATTTGCGTATATTCTTTCTTGTCAGGTTGACTGCGTCGCAGGCTATGAGGCCAACGTTTCGCTTGTAATGTTGAAGGCTTTCTCCTTCCTCTGAGGAAGCCTGCAACATAAAATATTATGTTTACATTCACAATTTGTTCTTAGGTCTTACATCGTGATTACAAGTACTGCGAGTATTGACCCGTGTGCTTTCTCACTGACACATTCACCCCACATTCAAAGTGAAGTCCCTGTTGAGTACACCACATTCACGGCTAGAAGGCTATGTTATATGAGAACACATCTTTAATAATTCTACGAAACTCAGTTAATGCAGTTTTTTTTCATTTTTTCGATGGTGAAACAATATATCATTGATAAATTAAAACGAATCAAGTGTTGAAAGTAACTAATCTAGTTGAAAATTTGATACTTATTGTTCGTTAAGTAAACAGTTCATACGTTCTCTGTGACAATATGATTGACTTGCGAGTTCACATCGTCTTCTTCAAAATTTCCATGCAATTTCTATGCCAATTTAAATAACTATTTTACTACCAACACAAAACATGTCAATTTTAATTTCTTTTCAGCAGATGTCGTTTTTGACAAACATGAAAAAAATGCACGAATAGAAAATAACATTTTTTCTCTTCGTTTGAAATATTGTGAACATGGTTTGTAACCACAGGATGAAATATTTGGGCTTTTTTTCAGAGAGCCTAAAAACTCAAGAAGGTTTCGGATCATCGGCAAGGGTCCCCTCCAAATTGTCTGCAAGTCGTCGGGGGTCAGCGGAGCAGGACCACAAAGCACAAGAATTGGAGATAATAGAAGAGGGTAAGAGGTTATTATGAAGATTATCAGATGAAATGAATGCCTCAGAAAACTAAGAGTTCTGTAACATTAATTTCGTATGTTCAGAAGAAAATTAGGTACATAGGGCGTATTACAGGCAATTCCTTAATTGTCATCACATGGCTTGTATCTGATTTTGCTCCTGTTCTCTCTGACATGGATTGAAATAATGATATCAACCATATTCATCCACTTTTTACGCCATTCTGTTTGACAAGGGAATTGCAAATTGCGTGGAAATCGTCACAAACCCCAATGAATGACCCCATGAATTCCGACCAAGGCCTACGTCTCCATGAGGCCCGGGGACGCTCAGTCGCGTCATTGCGCGTTTCCGTCGCCCTGTGACATCTGATGGGCACTCCCCCCTCCGCCCCCACCCGTCTGGTGCTCTCATCGCATTGCCAGATCCTCCGATCATCGGGCAGCCGAGTGGAGGGGGACCTCATCGATTATAAACCCGCGCGAAATACACTTCCGCTCATTTCCCTTCAACAAGGTCGCAGTTTGACAGTAGAAACGTGTCTGTGACAAGCGTGTCTAGGACGCACCGTGTGCTTGACAGCCACGAATGGTATTGTCTCCTTGACGGCGAAGATTGTATTAAAGGAGATTTCGCTGTGGGAATCCCATACTGTCCCAAGGAACCGGGCCGATTCTTCCCCCATACCAATGGAGAGAGAAAGATTACGTTAATATTAGATTTTTAAGAAGAAAAGAGAGCAGTGGATAAAAGAAAACATCAGAAACAGATCTCTAACGTACTCAAAGCCCAGATCTACGTATTTGAGTGCGTCACTTCCAGTTGGTATTACAATACATTGAAAGACTTGCTTAAACTAGGCGAACACGCGGTATTTTTCGTCGTCTATCAACATCGCTTACTGACTGTCCAGCGGATTCGTGTTTCCGGTGGTGTGAATTCCCATAGGCATTACTTAGATACACGTTGTGCAGCTAACATCCTGGTGGAGTGTAATGTTTCTCCCCGGTTAGTACGAGAGATCCGGTGCCGACCTGAACTCCGACGTGTGAGGTTTCCTGTCCAGGTATCTCTCCCGACGGGGAGCTCACCGCCACTGGCGAGACGAGTTGTAAAATACCGATTAGTCTTCCGACATAGATGAGACGCCGGACAATTCCGTCGCCAGGCCCCATTCTTTTAACCGATTAATTGATTGGTAGTGACTCCGGGCGCGAAAAAACCTATAAGGTCATTAGCCCCGTAAGTGTAGTGCATGTTTTATTCCTCGAGAGTTGGCGGTGATCTTCCTTCGCTCGATCCCGTCGACTAGTGGAGTTTTCCCCAACCAGGAATCACGCATTAGCGGCGCATCGCGCCAATCGTGACAAGCTCGCAATTGGTCTGTCGGCATGCGTGGTAGTGCAGTGCATGCTAGTGTAAGTGTGTGTAAGTAAGGGGGGAAGATAGGACTAGAAAGAGGAAGTAAAATTCGCGCGCGGTCCGTGGCCGATTTTACGGCATTCGTCTGGCGTTGAACGGAGAAACCACGGAAAACTACCGATCAGAGCAGCCGGCCGCCGGAATTCTCCCGCAGACAGCGCGGCGGCTGAATTCGACTTAGCTGGTGTCGAAAAGCCCGCCGCCGTGGGTTACCGGCATCCCGGGCCCTCTCGGTCGGAGGCTGCGCAGTGCGGAGGCCGGTGAGTGCCCCGAGGCCGTTGTGTTAACCGCCGTCGGCGTGTGGGGCGTGCGCAGCGCTGCAGACGACGCGCGGGGGCGAGCCGATGTGGCCGCTGCCGGAGGTGGACGAGGAGAGGCGGTCGACGCGGGCGGCCGACGAGACGCCGCGCACGACGGACCCCTCGCGCGCCCTGCCGGCCGCGCCCGCCGATGCCGCAATCCGTACGGCGATTCGTCCTAAAGCGCTTGCGCCACATTGCCCACGAGCGTTGCCACCAAAGACACGACACTTAGTTTCTCGCTACTGAAAAGACGGAAAGTTATGTATAGGCGGCTCCACACATTCGGCATTTGCCGAGCGGCGAGCTACCGCTCGCCCAATCCCGAACAGCTGATGTGTTCGGCGAATTTCGCTCCCTTTGTTGTGTCTTAAAGACCGACAAGCGAGCGGTAGGTAGGGGAGAGCACTAAATGTTTACCACTCATCCTCACTGCTCGGTATTCGGTGAAGGGTTGCTCGCTACAAGCCCAAAGCCTAATGTGTGGCGCAGCTTTAATACTGTTCAAAAACAAACAGGCGAATTTTCGACAGACAAACTTATTACAGGGCGATGTCAACAAAAAAGTGGATATATCCAGATGCAAAACGTACAAAAAAATTCTAACACGTGGTGTAGATGGAATACATGTTTTGTGGGCCCTTGATACCGAAACATCGAATGAAGGCAAAACGTCGGTGTCTGTCCGTCTGTGAACAACGCTAAACCGTTCAGATGATTTTCTCCAAAATTGATATTTCTCAATTGATTAGACTGCTGTCGCCGCCCATTGAATTTGAAACCTATATTTTAATTTCAGGGGTACTTTACATGAAGCCCCTGGGACATTTTCTATATTACAAACATGACTACATATTTTTGATTAAATTTTGTTGTTGGATATTGTGAAAACGTTTAAGAGAATGGTGCTGGTCTCATTTTCGTTAAAAAACTTATTGTTCGAAAACTTCAAAGTTCAAAATGTTTTGAGTCTTCCTTCATATAAAATATTGAAGATAGATATTTGTGGGACAAGAATTGAAAAATTGAAAAAATGCGGGCAAAACAGTGAATGTGAAAATATTCTTTTCAAACGTCAGTGCAAACATTGACATTTAATTGAATGTTTAGAATGATCTGTACCTTGTTTTAGAAGAAAAATCAAAATAGCAAACGCTAATTCTTTCCGGCCTGGATAACGGAGGTTCGTATGGCCGACGGGGCTTAGCTGCTTCGGTTCGAAGGGTCGCGGATTCGAATCTCACATCAAGCATGGACGTTTGTGTGCGTTCGCACTGTCGTTACGTGTTGTTCCTACAGTTTCCTCTACAGGAAAAGCAATCACAGTGGTTGCTATGAACAAGATGTTAAAAAGCACCCTAAAATCCCAAGCCTTCGTTTCTTCCAATCCGCGAGTTTCTTCTGGTGTTAACGAGCCTTAATCATTACACACACTATATCTGGGTAAATTTACGGCTTCTACAAAAATAATTAATTATAGTACAAAAATAAATGATGGTAATGAATTCAAAATTCATATAATGACTGATCGTTGATCAGATTTCTATGAGAAATACTGATCCAAATAGATACACATATTGCGTCGAAAACTACAATTCTGACGATGGGACCGATCAACTCATGGGTCCTATTCACGTATCCAATAGGGAATACGGGAAAACACTCAGAATTACTTTCGCGAGAGGCACAAAACGTCCTTGTACTTTTTGCTGTTGTGAAACCAGGGTGCCCCTATTAACCACTAATTATATCCCAGTTGCAAAATATCACCCAGAAAATGTTGATTAATTCTTTATATTCCCGGCAATGATAAAAACATTCATGACAGAAACCCTAGATATTTATTTCACATCTTCAAACTCATTCCAAAGACAATGCTTCTATACGACCACCAATCCAGTAGGAAAACCATCACGCTTCCGAAATACACCCGTACCTGCCTGAATTTTTCTTAAACAATTTTCATTACAACATTGTGTAAGTTTTAAAAAAATATAATTTTTTTAATCAAAATTTTGAAAAGAATACGGTGACATTTTTTAGACTGTTATGGAAAACAACTTGAATTTCTAATTGCATTACTGCAACATTTTAAAGTAAAAGTGTAGCTAAGTAGAGCCTGCCCTTTCGAGCACGTCAGGAAGATAAGAGTTTGAAATCTTTTCCCCACAATTTCATCCTTTCCATTCTAATCTCACTCCACCACTTCGAGACAAGAATTGTCAGGTATCAACCTGACGTCAATAAACAAAATTGTTTCAAGAGCTGATTTGGATTAAACTAA